CTCTCAAATCTCTGAGATTACAGAGGTGTGCCACCATGCCCGGCTGGACATTCGTTTTTTGTTTATTTATTTATTTTTAATATATATATATATATATATATATATTTTTTAAAGTTGTCAATGGACTTTATTTATTTATACATGGTGTTGAGAATCAAACCCAGTGCCTCAGACATGCTAGGCAAGCTCTCTACCACTAAGCCACAACCCCAGCCCAATTATTTATTTTTTAGTTGTAGATGGACATATTTATTTATTTATTTATCTGGTACTGAGGATTGAATTCAGTGCCTCACACATGCTAGGCAAGTACTCAGCCCCAGCCCGCACTCGTACGTTCTTACCAAACAATAATATTGACTGCACTATCTTCTGGGGCAACTTTCTCCAATTTGTCCTGGCATTTGGGGTTGACTCTGTTCTGCATTCAATTCCATTAGTAAATCCCATCATCCACTTCAGAGAAATTGACCAGGAAGCCCATAAATTCTACCCTGGGCAAAAAAGGCAACTACCGCTACATTTTCACTATATCCCAATGAGACAGCCCTGTCCAGCCTGGTGCTAGACAAAATATATAACATTCACAAAATATATAACTTTAACCCTCCAAAGCTAACAAACTCTTCTACTCAAAAGTATGTTTTGCTTATTTATTTATCTACTATTTATGTTTGTGATGCTGGTGATTAAACCTGGGAATTCATGCATACCTGTGCTTTACCACTAAGCTATATCCCCAGCCCAGGTTGTCATCTTTTATAAAATAATTTCCTATATATGAATTGTGTGTGTGTGTGTGTGTGTGTGTGTGGATTAAACCTTGGACCTTGCATGCTAGGGAAGCACTCTTCCTTGGAATGATGTCCTTAACCTTTGACTTTTAAAAAGTTTTACATTTTATTTTTAAATTGACAATCTGTACACATGGTATATAATTCAAAGGTCTAAAAGGGAACATAATGAAAACTAAGTCTTCCTCTCTCATCTTCCCAGTTACCCAACTGCTCTCCCTAAAAGGCAACCAGTATTATCAGTTTCAGGGTGTACAATATATATAATTCACAGCTTTCAAGTACCTTCCCTTATTTAACTTGCTCTAATTAATACTACTGTCATGGAATAAGAACAAGTCTAATTGAAATGAATATCCTCAGAGCAAGCAATAAATATCAAAAAAATACAAGCTAGTACAAGTCTCTAACACTAGCTCTGGGAAAGGCTGAGGCAAGAGGATCACTTGAGCCCAGGAGTTTGAGACCAGCCTGGGCTACTGGTGAGACCCAGTCTCAAAAATTTTTTTTGAATAAATAAAAAACTAACTAAAATACTTTGAGAATGAGAAGTTATGACAAAGCATGATAAAAAACAAACCAAAAGAAACTCACTCAAAATAGAATCATTGTAATTCTATACCCAATATTTAAAGTATATATATGCTTGTAGCACTATGTCTATGCTGCCCCACGAAAGAGGAGTGCTGCAATCTTCCATAAACCAGCTAATGCCAGCCTCACTTGCTGTATACCTGGTCATTCCAGACTGGTCAACTTGATTTCTAAACATCTATGGCTATCCGGAAAAATCCCAGCAAGGTTGTTAAGCCATAACAACTATAATTCAGATAATTCAATGTGTCAGAAATTGTTTAATACAATTGATTCTTTAAAAAATATGACTAATTATATAACCCAAAGGATGCTTTGACCACCTACTAATGTTGAATTTGAGACATTATCATCTATAAGCTGAAGCACCAATCTGTAAGCCAACTATTTAATTTTATGGTCCTTAAAAGATCTCCATCTCTCTCATTTACATATATACACACATCACACACTGCTAATCATTTTTCTGTTTTTCTTTTCCACTAGATTTGCAAGCCCTTTGAAATATATATATTTGAAATATATATATATATATACACACATACACACACACACACCTTTATGGACATCATTCCAAGGTAGAGTGCTTCCCTAGCATGCAAGGTCCAAGGTTTAATCCCCACCCCCCCACACACAATTCACATACCTTTATTTTACTTTATTTTTATGTAGTGCTGAGGATCCATCGAACCCAGGACCTCATATGTGCTAAGTGCTCTACCGCTGAACCACAACCCCAGCCTCTGAAAATGGGCTTTTTAATGTTCATTATCATGAGTCTATAGCCAAAATGGCACATGTTTGTTCAGTGAATGAATTAATGATGACATTGATGTATTAATCATGATCCCTTGGACAGACTGTACATCTTCTTTATAAATCCCTTATTTCAATGTGAATAAAACATTTTCAAATTGTTTGTGTGTCACAATGTCAAGAATAAAGTTACAAGTTAAAAGAGATATTATGAAGAATATATATATTTTTTATTTTCTGAAATAGGGTTTTGCTATGTTGTCCATGTTGTATAGGCTGGCCTTGAACTCAGGTTTCTCCTGCCTCCATCTCCCATTGGGCTGACAGTACAAGTGTAAGCCACTGTGCCCAGTTCATAAGGTATCTTCAAAATGTATTCACTTACACAGGCTCATGAGAATAAGGTAGGAGGTTCATAAGTTTGAGACCAGCCTCAGCAACTCAGCAAAACCCTCAGCAATTTAATAAGACCCTATCTCAAAATTAAAAAAAAAAAAGAAGAAGAAGAAGAAAGGACTGGAGATATAATTCAGTGGTAAAGCATCCCAGGCTCAATCCCCAGTACTATCCCTGCCCCACAAAACAAGTATTCACTTAAAAGATTTGTGAAAATTAGCAACTTAGAGGAAAAAATGAACAGAATATGAACAGATCCATCAATAACTTGAAAATGTAAATATAACATATGAGAAATGCACAATCTCATTCCTGATTCAACTGATTCAAAGAAATACCATTTTTCACATGTCATTTTGACAAATGTCAGCAAACTTCCTAACACACTATATAACAAGGTGAGGAAACCTGCAGTGCTGGGAATGAAAGCTGGTTAAAACCTCCATAGGTTCAATTCCCAGCACTGCAAAAACAACCACCCCAAAACAAAAACCAACCAACCATCCAACAACAACAACAACAAAAGAAACCTTAATAGGACAATCTGGCAATCAAAATGGGAAGGCATATCCTTGGGCTGGGATGTAGCTCAGTGGAAAACGTACCCCGGGGTTTGATCCCTAGTATGAGGGCGGGGGGTGGGGGGGGGTGGGGGGGGAGCAGAAACTATTTATGTATTAATAAGAAATTATCTTAGGGGGCTGGGGTTGTGGCTCAGTGGTAGACAGCTTGCCTAGCACATGCGGGGCCCTGGGTTCCATTCTCAGCACCACATATAAATAAATAAAATAAAGGTATTGTGTCCAACTACAACTAAAAAATAAATATTAAAAAAAGAAAATATCTTAGAAAGTATTAAGAGAGATAAGTAAGGAACCTAATAGTACATAGCATCCTACATGTATGTAAAAGGTGGAAACAGAGTAACTATGTATAGACTTGTGAGATATATATATCCTGTTCATTTCTGAAAGGAACACAAGACACTGATAAAAACTCCAGCCCCCTCCCCCAACTGGCAGGAGAACTGGAAAGCTGTGTACAGAAGTCAGAGAAGACTGTTAACAGACACTTTCGAATTTTGAACTAAGAGAATATTACCCCTTTCAAACAAATCCAAAGGCTGATTCTTATTGCTTAGAAATAATGCCCAATATCTTGAAAAGGAACTTTTCAATAAGGGTAAAATTGTGATTATTAAAATATACTATGCCGGGTATAGTGGCTCGTGCCTATAATTCCAGAGACTCAGGAGGCTGAGGCAGGAGGATCACAAATTTGAGACCAATGTTGGCAACTTATTGAGACCTTGTCTCAAAAAATAAAATAAAGGGCTGGGAATGTAGCACAGAGGTAGAGCAATCCTAGGTTCAGAAAAAAATTATTATTCACATATACGTAAATATTTATGATAATGGCACCTCACAGAATCCTCTCAGCAAATTATGAGGTAGAAATTATAATTATTATTCCAGTTTTACACATGAAGAAACAAAGGGCTAGGGCTGTAGCTCAGTGGTAGAGTGCTCACCTCACATGTGGAAGGCACTGGGTTAGGTCCTCAGCACCACATAAAAATAAAATAAAGATATTGTGTCCATCTACAACTGAAAAAAAAAAAAGAAAAAAAGAAAATAAACAGAAGCATGGAAGGGTTCAAAAACTTGCTACAGCCAGGTGTGTACATGCCTGTAATTCCAGAAAGCTGAGGTGGAGGATTTGGAGTTCAAAGCAACCTCAGCAACTTAGTGAGGCCCTAAGCAACTTACCAAGACCCCGCCTCAAAATCAAATATAAAAATGTTTAGGAATGTGGCTCGGTGGTTAAGTACCCCTGATTCAATCCTCGGTACAAAAAAAAAAAAAAAAAAAATTGCCTACTGTCACACAGCTAGTAAAGTATGGAATAAGAACACCCTAACATTACAAATATTTGACATCTGAAAACAAGATGAGAAGAATAAAAAAAAGAATAGCAAATAATTTAAAAGACAAATGATGTGTTGGACATGGTAGTGCACACCTGAGGATTGCAAGTTCATGGACAGCCTCAGCAACTTAGCAAGGCTGTGTCTCAAACTAAAAAAATTTTAAAAAGGTTTTTTAGCTCAGTGTGTGCTTGGCATTCTATGGCCTAACCCAAAGCCTTGGGTTTAATCCTCAGTACAGCTAAAGGAAAAACAAATTAGGAAAATTACTTTCATATAAAAAATTAAATTTTAAGGAAAACCAGCTATGTTCACTTATATAAACTTCCATTTATAAAATTAAAAGGAGTTATAGCTCAGAGTCATTTTTTTCTTTTTTTAGTATTAGGAAAAATTGGAAGTCTTTTGATGAACTCATTGTAATAGCTTTACTTTCACAAATGGATGTTGCTACTATGTAGATAAACAGACACAAGAGAAAAGTATATAACAAATCTAGAGAAAGCAAAACATGAAGTAGACTTTCTTCTCACCATTTTTCTTTTTGATGGCAATGATGGCTCATTTATCTGGAACAAAAAGTGAAAAATGATTTTTCAAAGGTGTGTTAAGTTACTTTACAAATATTTTCATCCACTTGCATTTACAGCCTAATTTCAAGTATACAGAGATTGATCCTCTACTTAATGGATGTTCCTCTTACTCATGCGCCTAGATTTTTATGGATCAGTAGATCCATAAAAATACCTGGAGGGGATAAGATTATGTAGCATCCCTATTTAAAATTATTTTCGTTTAATAGTAGCAAAAAGTGTTAAAGTATGTTCTGTTAGCTTCATTATACCCTGAAATAAACTGATGTTTTCCTGTCTTCTTAAGAGATATAAGCAATAGGGGCTGGGGTTATAGCTCAGCAGTAGAGTTGAGCTATAACCCCAGCCATCAGAGGATGGATAATTGTAGTTCCCTGTCAATCAGGAGCATAGAGAAGACTTGGACATAAGGGGATTGTGGAGACTATTAGGTAAATTGCTTGAATTACCTTGACATTTTATTTATTCCTGGCTACCATTACCTTGAATGATCAAAGAGCTAACATGTTTATCATATAAAATTAATAGAAAAATTCAAGAATACTAACATTTTCTAACCTTTAGGAAGTTATAACAATACACAAATAGGTACAGCCTTCAACAACAGAGGTAACTCAGGTCTAATCAAGTGTTATGAAAAATCTTATAGAAACAAATGTTTGTTGAGAAAGGCAAAATAAAGTATCATGCTAATAATGATAATCATTAATGCAGAACTTTGAAATGTTAAAATTTAATAACTTATTAAACTAGCATAAAATTATGTAGAAGAGTCTCACTATCTGGATTTCACACTGATTAAAATTTTAAATTCTTTATTTGTACAGAGAGATGTAAATTTAAGAAATATGCTTAGAGTGCCAAAATAAATTTTTAGAAATGATTTGAATCTAAGTAGGATTCTAGAAAGATGAATGTCTTCTGTAATAATAAATTATGAATCACACTGAAACTTTGAGGTTCTTTATATAACACGTAGGTTCTTATTATAAAACTATTTACAATTGTTCTATATTAAATTTACAAAAGATTAAAAACAAAATACATGTCAATGTGTGTTATTATGAGGACAGGATTTAATTTTTATTTATACCATGTACAATTATATACTATCTAGGAAGTTTTGGGAAAAATAGGAAAGGAAAAATTCATAATACAGTTAATTTAAAATTAAGAAAAATTTTAAGGTAAATATTGATATTTTCAGTGGCACAGAAAAATCTATTGCTCATATCTCTTTTTTTAACGATATTTTTTAAGATGACACAGTATCTTTACTTATTTTATTTATTTTTATGTAGTGCTGAGGATTGAACCCAGAGCCTCACGTGTGCAAGGCAAGCGCTCCACCGCTGAGCTATAACCCCAACCCCTATTGCTTATATCTCTTAAGAAGATAGGAAAACATCAGTTTATTTCAGGGTTTAATGAAGCTAGCAGAATATACTTTAACACTTTTGCTACTATTAAACTAAAATAATTTTAAATAGGGATGCTACATAATCTTATCCCCTCCAGGTATTATTATTTTTCTCATCATTCTCATTGTTTTTATCTCAGTGTTCTCATTACATTTAATTAGTTAAATTCAAGAAATAAAAACAAGCATAGAGCTTTTAATTTTAATAGTTTAACCCACAGTAAGAATGAATTATTAAAACCAATAGGAAAGTTTTCAGGGCATATTCATTAGAATTCAACCTCTCAATATTTTTTAAAAAATGTAGTTTTCCATATTCTTATTTGGCATTATTTAACTCATTGGAAGAAATTAATTATAACACTTCAATGAATACTTTTCTCCTGCAACTGAAAAAAATTACGCATTTTTATTTATTGATTTTTGCAATACTAGGGATTGAACCCAGGGATGCTCTAACACTGAGCTACATCCACAGCCCTTTTTATTTTGAGACAGGGTCCCTAGGATTATAGGCATGTGCCACTGTTCCTGGCTAAATTTTACCATATCAAAGAATCAAAATTGTTTTCAAACTAGGTGTAAAGACTCAAGCCTATAACCCTAGGAACTCAGAATTCTGAGGCAGGAAGATCGAGAATTCAAGGCCAGTCTCTGCAATTTAGTGAGACACTGTCTCAAAAAATGAAAAGGACTGGAAATGTAACTCAGTGGCAAAGCGCCTCTGGGCTCAATACCCAGTATCAAAAAAAAAAAAAAAATTCTCAAAGTTATTTTAATGATGAGACACTTATTGTACAGGTATGTTATTTTTCTTTACTGAAATTCAGTAGTTGTTCAGTAGCTGTTTTTCTCTTTAGCATCACACTGCCATAATAACACAGATGACAAACTTTCTATTACACATCTGGTGTCTACTTGCAACAACAAGCAACTCCAGAATGGCTTATCTCAGTCAAAGCAAGTCAGACGTCAGACACTGAGGTAGGATTTTCCAACCTCAGATACATGAATACATATATATGTAGGGGTGGGGGTTGGGGGGGAGAAAGAGAGAGAAAGAGAGAGGTAGGTAGGTGGATGTTGATAAAAGCCTTCTGTTCCAACTATCATGTATTTTTAACAAGGGAGCAAATTAAAGAAAACAAAATAAAACAAAACAATAAGAAATGAGGGATTGTAAAATCACTTACCTCCTGCTGTTCCATATATTCCCTGTGTCTCCGAGCTGCCTCATGCCTCCAGAGCTTTAGGCAAACCAAAGCACTGATAAGATAGACAATCATGGTGACAAAAAGGAAGATCATTGCTGCTATTTGTCCTCCTTCTACTCGGCAGAACACTGCATTTATTGGAGTATTAAATAATGGATAGTAGCAAAGTCCACCTCGGTTGGTATCATTCACATAGACTATGGCTGCCGCCATGTACAAGATAAACAAGGCAACATTAATTCCAAATTCAGTTAGGGGCCACCAATTAGAGTCCAAAAGAATAGTTCGGTAATACATGGACATGCCAAGAACCAGAACAATAATGGTAGCAATCCAAGCTAATCCAGCAACCACCAGTACAAAAGGGGTCTTGGGGCCACTGTAGTAATAGCCCCCATACATACTGCCCAGGCCACCAACGCCTCCCATGCCATACGGCTGTGAATATCCAAACAAGTTATACCACTCGCTGTCCTTGTGAATGTAAGCTGTGACACATGCGAAGACTCCGGCCCCCAGAAGCAGCTCCACCACACCCAGAATTCTCAGCAGACCTGCCCAAGACTTCATGTAGGAATACCTCAGGTTGTACTCCTCCACCTTCTCACTGTATGTTCGAGCTGTCTGTGTGTGTCGGTCCAGAGATGCATAGGGATCCTGGGGAAACATCCCATCAGACTCTTTTGGGGAATTAAAAGTGCCTTCTGACCCTCCAGAAGGATCTTTGTAGGAGCTGGGGGCAGAACGGTGGTTGCATCTTGATGGAGAGGCAGGAGGTGAACATTTCACGCCATCGGAGATGTATCTGATATCAGACACTGACTTATCCCATTCTGGGTCCTTTTTCTTTCCCCTGAAGAAGTTCTTCCAGGAGTCAGGGATAAAGCGTCTTACGGGCTTGAGGTCTGGTGCAATGGCTGGTTCCTCAGTGTCACTTGAGTAGAAGTCTGGGCCGAATGGTGGCTGTAATGGGAGAGGGGGAGGTGGCAAAGGATCAGCGCTTACAGCCAGCTCACTGTCGTGAAGAGTATGGAGGGTTCTTATGGTGCCATCTTGATGAGGCAAGTCCCCTGGGACCTCATTGTAGCCCCTCTCCCGAATCCTGGATCTTCCATCATTTGACGACATTTGTGACTTTCACACCTGAGACCAAAGATTATAGTTTTTACTTATGCTTAGTTATTTATTCTTTCCATAATGCTGATTTTATTTACTTTGTAGCAAAATGTATTCAGGAGACCAACACAATTATATCTAATTATTGTGACATATAAAAATAAAAAATAAGCATGTATATTTTAGGTATATGTAACAATTAGATAACTCGAGAATACCAAGTTACTACTTTATGCTATTTTAAGTACAATCAAAATTTTAACTATTAACTCTGAATTTTACATAATGAAATATTTAGCCAAGCATGGTGGCACATATGTGTGTGTGTGTGTGTGTGTGTGTCTGTGTGTGTGTGTGTGTGTGTCTAATTTATCTAAAAACCCTATAAACAGTAAAATATAAAAAACAAAAATGAAAAACTTTAACACTGCATAATGCTAACACAATCCCAAGCAGAGTCCTTCCTTCAGACATCTAAAGCAAAATATTTAAGAGTCTAAGCATACCAAAGTTTGATGGGTCAGCAATATAATCATTTTCATTAACTCACACCTGCTTTGGAATGTCCAAAGGGAAGCAGTCTGTTAAAACACAGCTCTTTCCTTCCTAAAACAAGGAAGTCATTTAGAAGACTTGTCCCCTCTAAAACAGTAACACTTGATACTAGATTTCATTTTATATTATTGTGGTACTGAGGATTGAACCCGGTGCTTTGCCACCAAGCAAAGTTCCCAGCTCTTTTTCTTTTTTTGAGACAGGGTCTTGCTAAATTGCCCGGGGGGTCTTGAACTTGCAGTACTCCTGCCTCAGCCTCAAGAGTAACTGGGATGACAGGCGAGTGCTACCATGCCCTGCTTGATACTAGATTTTAAAGGTTCTTAGAGGTAAAAATTGCCAAAGGTTAAAGTTCCCAGAGGTACAAAATAGCAGCATCAGTGACTAGGAATATCATTCTTTCTAGAACAATTATCTATAGGTGATTTGCTGTCACGTAAGAAAAACTTACAAAATATTCAATCTAACTGAAAAAGTACTTTTACCAAGTCTGTTGATTTCTTTCATGAAATCAATGACCAGGACACATACACAAAAAGAAGGAAACCATTTGTTAAAGTAACTACTAGGTTTAAGGTACATTGAATTTCTCCCTCGAATTGTTTCTAAATATTTCTTGAAGAGTTATTAGACACATGGTATTGTATTTGCACAACGAAGTTCTCAAAATTAAAATGGATAACCACACCTTTAAGATGCTGAAAATTTTAGATATTCCTAGGCTTTGTTTCATTTTACTTTATAAAATGGAGACCTGTTATTCAACAAATATTTACTAAGTACCTGCCATGCATCAGGCATGCTGGTCTGTCAGTGAACAAAGTAGGATAAAGTCTTTGCCTGTATGGACACAGAATTCTAATGGGGGGTGACAGGTGATAAATAAATAAAATATGTAGTATGCTAAGGAAACAAGTTTAAAAGGGGGGCCAGGAGTGCACTGTGGACAGTGTTATGGTTTTAAATGGAGTGGCCTGGGAAGTTTTCATAGAGAGTATGATAGTTCAATACAGAACTAAAGGTAAAGGAGGAAGCTAGGCAGGTATCAAGAAGAGTGCTCCTGGGCAGATAAAATGACTACTGCAAAAACCCTTTAGCAGGAACACCTAACAAGTTTAAGAACTATGAAGGCAGGGAGGCCAGCATGGCAGCAGCAGAGTGAGAGGGTGTGGAGTAGAACTGAGTCCATCTCATCACGTAGGGCCCTGAAAACCACTGGAACAGACTTTGGCTTTACTGGGAATGAGATGAGAAGTCATTGGAGAATTCTAAGTAGAAGAGTGACTCGATCTGATTTGTTTTAACAAGATCACTTGGATGATGTGTTCAGAGAATACACCAGAAAGTAAACTGGGAGACCAGCTAGAAAGCCACTGAAATAATCCAATGGACCATGTTGGATGGAGTCTGAGAAAAGGTAAAATATTAGGTTCAGGGAATTAAGGTATTATAGGAATTTTCAAACTTAATAAAAAGTGGAAAGAACAGTATTATGAACCTTTGGGTAGACATCAATTAGCTCCAACAATTACCCAGCTATGGCCAATTTTGTTTCATCTATATTCCCCCATCCTATTCCCTCTGTCAGTAGATTACATTGAAACAAATGCCAGACATCCGTTTAACTGCAAATTCTTCATTTTTCCATCTCTGGAGAAGAGCAGGATGAAAACAGTTTCAGATGCTTGTTAGCAATGCAGGGCTGTCAGGGAGGCAGTCTACTCACAGAATTCCAGGACTTCTCTGAGAAGACTCTTTATTGTCTAAAAATATTTAAATTCAAGAAATGCATAGTACTGCTGGGGATGTAATTCGTTGGTAAAGTGCCTGCTAGGCAGTCTAGGTTCCATTCTCAGCACAGCAAAAAAGGAAATGAAATGCACAGTACTTAGTACAGTATTTCTTTTTTTCTCTACTAGTGTAGTTTTTGAAATACATTCCTAAGAAACATACAGTAAAAAACACAAGTAACTTCGGCAAGTTTTACATAATGCCGCTCAATATCTATGATATATATGAACCTACAGGAGCTTAATCTCACTGATCTTCACCTGAGAAAAGTGGCTTATTTGAGTCAGACCACTTTATCAATGCTTAAACTAAAAGCAACAATTTTAAATTTGAATTGTAGAAAAGCAAAATATCTTATCTTAAAAGGGAAAAGTCAGCGGTATTTTCTCTCATGTTAAATATCTGGATACACCTAATGCCTTCAGGGTGTGAGAGTCCTCAGCTCGCCTAGGCGGAGCCGGTCTTTGTTTAATTCGGGACCAGGACCCTGACTCCATCAGTTCTGCTGGAACCTTAGGCAAGTCACAGCGGTGGTGAAGAGAAATGGTTCCCTCGGCGAAGTGTCAAGGGAATCACGCCAGGTTACTTTTACATTCCCAGAATCACCGCTTTTTCCTGGCTTTCAAATTTTGCTGGGCCCAAGAAAAGGATCGATTTCAGGTATTTCTGGGCCTCGTGGGGATGGGGGAGCAGGGGAGGCCCCTGCGGGACTGCCAGGGACAGAGCATCCCCCCCCCCCCCGGAGCCTTTGGGCACCGGGTCCCAGAGTCCACTGTCCATCGCTTTACCCACCCCCTGGAAGCGTCCCGCCTTCGGGTTCCTCCTGAAAATACACTCTTTCGGGATTCGGCCCCAAAGTGACCTGAACTAAGTCGCGCCAGAAGTCCCAGGTCAAGACAGCCCGAATTCCAGTGGGGGCGACCGCCGCGAGCCGGAAGGACGGCAGCACCTGCGGTGCGGAACCCCGCGGGACGGGGCCCTCCCAGCCCTCCCCGCCCTCCCGCCGGTGCGTCCCCGCCGTGGATCCGGCCTGCGTCGCCGGGTATCGCGGGCCTGAACTGAGAGCGCGGCAGCTGGGGAGCTCCGGGGGCGTGCGGGGGTGGGGGGCGCCCAGAGGGGCTGAGGGCTGTCCCGCCCCGCGCACCTGTAGAGGCCGCCGGGCCCTTCCGTCTCGTTCGGGTCACGCGGCTCCACCCTGCGCCCCACTCACCTGCGCTGCGGCCGGGAAGAGCACGCGCCGCCTAGGGCACCGAAACCGGGATCGGGTTCTGAGGCGGGGCAGGGGTGGGCCGAGCAAGCTTCGCCCCGCCCGGCTTTGTCAGCCCGGACTCTCCAGTGAGCCCAGCTGCTAGGTGCCCCCCACCCAGCACCTCGCAGCGGGGTTAACTCCCGGCTACCGCTGGGAACCGCGCTTTGAGAAAGAAGGTAATTAAGCAACCTCTTCCGGAGAGTCTCAGAGCAAGGTGGCCAGCGTCCCCTTCCCTACCTTTTGAAAGGTTTGATAATGGATGAAGGATGAGTGCACAGTGCCTTAGGGACACATGGCAGTTAAGTAAACAACGTTAAAAAAAATAAGAGAAACGAATGAAATCCAACATTTTAATTTCGAAATAAATTATGTAAATATTTCCAAAAAGTTTCTAAAATATTATACTGTACAACATATAAAAAACAGTATCTGAGAAGCTAGAGACAATAAACTGTAAATAAGGCACAAAGTTTATTTACACTCAGTTGCATCTGATACTATTTTGTGATTCATATTTACAACATAAAGGTTTTGATTTCTGGATGATTCCTTCACATTTTCTGATATTTGGCATAACGTTCAAACAATACACACTGATCTCCTTCCCCTAACCCATTCACAAGACTAAATAAATACTAGAGAAAAAAAAAGTTAAGAAGAGTACTTGAAGGTTTGATTTTCTATTTAATTCAAGATGACAGAAGAGTCAAGTTGCTTGTGATGAAATACTATAATAATAATTAAATTGTCTATAATTCACCAGAAAAGTATATTAACTCTGTTCAAGTACTACTTGAATCTGTCAAGGCTGATTTCTATGTTCCATCACTCTCATAATCTTCTATTATTATATCTTCTTCTTCCATGTCCACTTGGGAGGAAAAAGGTTGAGGCTGGCTAGCAGGCAGTTCACTCCCACTATTCTGACTCAAAGGAAGAATTTCTGGTTCAGCAGTCTGAGTGGGTTCACCCTGATTTTCCTCTGTAGTCTGTGCTCCATTAAGCTGTGCTTCATTTCCAATGTCAGGGTCTATCAATCCATGCTCTCTGTCCATCAGGGCTTCCATTTTCAATCTGTCAGATTCATAGTGCAGATATTAATTGTATATAAGGAGGGGATTACTTTATAGTATGAGTGTGATGATTTTGAAACCACCTCCTCTGGTCCTTCATTTATCTTCACTGTGTACACTGTTTAGCCAGTCCCTTTAGTTTAACTATAAAAACCAAAACTAAGCTGGGTACCATACTACATACCTGTAATCTCAGCTATACAGAAGGCTGAGGCAGGAGTATCTCAAGTTTGAGATCAGCCCCTGGGAAACCTAGTAAGACCCTGTCTCAAAAAATTAAAAGGGCTGGAAATGTAGATCATGATAAAGTGCCTCTGGGTTCCATCCCCATTCAGAGGTGGGGGTTAGGGTGGGAGTGGGATGGCAACCCAACCACAAGGTGAACAACTGAATAAGTTCTTATAACTAGCAATGCAAAGAGGGTTATGTCTTTAGTAAAGAGTTCCTATAGACTAAAATGAAAAAAAAAAAAAAAAACACCAAAAATGGGCACAAATAGAAAACTTATTAAAGAAATACAAGTGTTACTAAACAAACTGCTCTAACTTTGTAAATCTTAAAACTGAAATTAAAATAGTAAGAATTTTTTTTTTCTTTTGCCATACTGGGGGTTGAACCTAGGTCCTTGCGCACGCTCAGCAATTTTACTGAGTTACAATCCTAGCCCTATTTATTTTTGCTTTGAGACCAGATCTCACCAAGTTGCCCAGGCTGGCATGCACTTGTAATCCTCCTGCCTCAGCCTCTAGTGCAGCTGGGATTACAGACATGTACCAATGGGCCCTCCTGGCAAAGACACTTTTTGAAGGGATAAAACCCAAGCAAGGTTCAGTGAAGCATGCCTGTAATCCTAGCCACTAGGGAGGTTAAGGCAGGAGGATCACAAGTTCAAGATCAGTCTTAGCAATTTAGCAAGACCTGTCTCAAACAAAGAAAAAAAGAAAAAAGAAAGGCTGCAGGGGGAGGGGTGCTCAGTGGGAGAGTGCTTGCCTAGTACATGTGAGACCCTGGGTTTGATCGTTAGCACCCCAAAAAATAAATAAAGGAAGAAAGAATGCTTAGAAAAGGCTGACGATGTTGCTTTAGTGGTAGAGTGCCCCTAGGTTCAATCCCCAGTACTGCAATCAATCAAATAAAATAACAGTAAAGTAATAAAACCCAGTTGATGGATAGTTTAAAGAAAAAGAACATACTAATACCGTGAAAGTAGGTATAAAATTGACAAAATATTCTTGCCAGCAACCTGGGAACAGAGACCAAAGCCTCAAAAAGGAACAGACCTATTGACACAGCATTTCATTTCTATGAGTTCATACAAGTAAATAATATTTGATGTGCAGAAAGGGTTATTTACAAGGCTATGATAACAAAAGTTGAAAAGGAGCTAAATATACAAAATAAGGTATGTGTTAAATTACAGGAAATCATGCAGCTATTAAATATTAAGTTAAATGTTAATATTTAATAAATAGTAAATATTATCAATATGAATCAAGATATTAAATATGGGAACATAAAGATAACAGTACTAGTCACTGTAATTCAGAACATCAACAAATCCTGCCTCCAAGTCAGATCACATAGTTGAATCGATGATTAAATAGTAAAGATTTCAATGCATTTACTTATATTTTAGGAGCAAAAAGACAATAGAAAATACTTATCCTCCCTCTATTTTTATGTCTTGATCTCAGGATGGAGACAGAAAAGAGAGCTGGTCCTTTTTGGGGGGCAATACTGGGGATTGAACCCAGGAGGCACTTTACCACTGAGCTACAGCCCCAGCCCTTTTTATTTTGATATAAGGTCTCACTATTCTGATATATTCTATCAGGAAAGGGTGAACATATGATGTTGAATAAAATGAAGGATCAACAGTGTAATTAAAAGGTCTTTAATCACTGGATGTAATATATGTATTTTTGTATCTGACATATAACTTTTATTTATGTATGTTGAGTATATTCAGTGGATATTTCAGTAACAGCTCTTCTTACCTTCTAAAGTGTTGCTTCAGAGGAAGTCTTCCAATATCTTGGATAAAAGAAATCTGAGCTGAAAACAGATATTTTTAAAAAATTTTTAAAACATCATCATTCTTTTATTTATTTTTTAATTGACAAATAGGAATTAATTTAACATATGTATTATCTCAGATACTTACTTTTTTGGTGAGAACACTTAAAAATACTCTTAGGAATTTCAAAAATACATTTTTAGGGCTGGAGTTGTAGCTCAGTGTTAGAGTGCTTGCCCAGCACAGGTGAGGCACTGGGTTCAATCCTCAGCACCACATAACAAATATAAATAAATAAAATAAAGATATTGTGTCCATCTACAACTAAAATATTTTTTAAAAATACAATATTAACCGTAGTCACGATGTACAACAGGTCTCATGAGATTATGTATATTAGTCTCTCTGTTTTTTTTCATTGCACATGACCTCTAGAAGCATCCATATTGTTACAAAAAAAAAAGTTTTAAACAGTTTTCAAAGGAAAATGTATGAATAGCCAATAGGTATATGCAAAGAGGTTGAACATGACTATTCTTTAGGAAATCACAAACCAAAACCACAAACAGCTCCTAAGTAAATCATTGTTTGTCATGGTGGGGCATGCCTATAATCTCAGCAACTCAGGAGGCAGGAGGATCACAAGTTTAAGTCCAGCCTCAGTAACTTACTCAGATCCTGTCTCAAAATGAAAACTAAAAAAAGGGACTGGGGATGTGGCTCAGTGATAAAATGTCTCTAGGTTCAATACCCAGTATCCAAAAAACAACAAAATTATTATATGATCCAGAAATTCCAAAAATTTATGGGCATATACCCAAAAGAACTGAAAGCAGAGTCTCAAAGAAATATTTGTATATTCCTGTTCATAGTAATATTACTCATGATACAGGTTGAATAATCCTTATTCAAAATGCTTGGGACCAAAAGAAGTATTTTAGATTTTGGACTCTGGAGTGTTTGTATATACATAATGAGATATCTTAGGGATGGGATCCAAGTCTAAACACAAAATTCATTTGTTTCATATATACCTTATACACACAGCCTAAAGGTAATTTTATGCAATATTTTTAATGCAGTCATATGAGGTCAGATGTAGAATTTTCCACAATGAATCATGTTGGTGCTTTAAAAGTTTCAAATTTTGGAGCACTTCAGATTAGATATGTTCAATCTATAGTCAAACTCAAATGTCCATCAACAGAGAAATAACCAAAATGTGGCAAATACATACAATGGAATATTATTCATCCTTAAAAAAGAAGGTAAATTATGATGCACACCACTCCAAGGAAGAACCTTGATGACATTACTCTAAATGAAATAAGCCAGTCACATAGGACAAATATTGTATGATTCCACGTATAGGAAGTACCTAGATAGTCTAATTCATAGAGACAGAAAGGGACTAGGAGAATGGAGAAGTGGGAAATAAACATCTAATGATTACAGAATGTCAGTTTTGCAAGATGAAAAAGTTCTGGAAATTCGTTGTAGAATAAAATGAAAATCCATACTATATACTTAAAAAGAGTTATGATGATAAATTTCATGTTACATGTATTTTATCACAGGTGAGTATTTAAAAAGAATGACA